CAGCACTAGTCAGATAAGAAAGACTGAGTCAGTAATTGATTTTTCTGGATTTTTAAGAAAATTCAGAAGTTGGAGGTATTAATGAAGAAACCAAAATTCATGGAGTTGAAAAATAGTATATTTGGTAAACGCTGAAAGCAATATGATTTTATTCACAATTATTGTAAGCCATTAGAAGAAACTAGCAAACTTTCTTCCTTGACTGTTCTCTTTTGTTAAGACATGTCTAAGGTAAACGTTTTTGTTTCAACATTGGGAAGCTGATCCTCTTTAAGCTGAAACTTCATTGACTATCAGCTACGTTGAGTAATCATAATTTGAACTTTAATTATTGAACATGCGATCTGTCTCAAAGGTAAAATTATTGAGATAGATAACGTCTATTTGGGAGTCAGCCCTAAACAATAGTAGAAAACAATCTTGCAAATTTATTTGACCATAAACTTTATGTGAGCTACTACAGTGATGTGATTATTAGAAATATGCCATGAAGATAAGCTGTAGGAAGAATAGAGGCACTTTTGTGACAGAGACCTAGAGAACATACCAGCTCTGTGTAAGCAGAATAAGGCTTCCCCCACCAAAGACCGCCACACCGTAATTCCTAGATTTGTCTCTGGCACAGATGTTCTTGGTGACGTTACAGGAAGGAATTTTAGGATGAGCAATCATGGCAAGTTTACTGAGGGAAAGCAGACAGGCTTAGCAAAGGCTTGTGCAGGCTGTCAGGAAAGGCAGGCTTCCAAAGAGCAGCTACCCCAAACTCCCCCGGTTGCTGTTTTTATTAGCTGAGGTCAAAGAGGGCTGGGCAATGGTGTTCCTCTGTTCTCACTCATAGTTTCCCTCATTTTCTCCTTAAGGTGGTGAGGTGGGGGGTTGGGGGGGCGTCAAAACCACCATGTTCATCTATTATAATTGTGGTATAATTTGTACCTGTGCAACGCTGGGAAATTAATGGTTCATTTCTTCTCAGGTCTGTTTGTTCACCGGCTGTTTGCTGGAGCCGGCTGGCTTTTCTGTTCCCGCCCCCCTTACTCAGACCTAACTGACTACTCTAACGAAAGCAGTAAATATGTTACCTTTGTGACAAAACAGACTTTGCAGATGTGAATAAGATTAAAGGATTCCGTGTAGGGAGATGATCCTAGATTATCTGTGTCGGCCCAAGCTAATCATGAGCCCCTAAAAGCTGAGAACCTCTTTAGCCTGTAGTCAGAGAGACCTGAAAACGCAGGGAGGGTTAGAGAGACGTAATGTCGCTGGCTTGGAAGATGTAGGAAGGACCACGAGTCGGGGAATGTGCAGAGCCCCTAGGATCTGGAGAAAGCAAGAATATATATTTCCCTCCCCTATAGTCTATAAATGAGGAACACGGCCTTGATTTTAGTTCAATGAGAAACATGTTGGAATTGTGACCTACATAACTATAAAATAATAACTGCGTGGTATTTTAAAACACTTGCTGTGTGGTAATTTGTTATAGTAGCAATAGGAGACTAAATATCATTCGTGTTCCATTTTCACAAATCAGTATCATTAGAGCTATAATTCTGTCAATTTTTATGACTATTTTTCCTTTTTTCTCTTCAAATATCTAACCTTACTAGAGTAGTTTTATCATGATATGCAAAACAAGTTTGTAGCTTACCCAGGTTTCCAATTTCCTTAAAGTTAAGATTTTTTATCTACAGAGTTTTGAAATTTCAAGACTTTACCATTGAAGATAATCTAATCATTCAATTCTATGTCTATAGGAAATTCACACAAATATATATCTACATAATGTTACATTCATAACATATTTAAAATTCCACAAGAAACAAATTACCCTCAGATAAGGCAAATAATCTAGTCACATGTAGCTGAAGATCTCATTAGTATAAGCCAAATTCCTTTCAAAAGGTAGGTATGCATGGATTATAGAAATAGATATTCACTTCGCAATATTTGATACAGGAAGACATTTATTTAATCTTTAGATTGCAACATGCTATTGGAATTAGGCTATGATAAAATTTTAGGACTAGCTATTTTAATCACTCAACTGCATAGTCACCTAACAGCCACATGGGTCGAAGAAAATAACCCTCTTTTGAGGGAGAGAAGAGCTTTGAAACTCATTTCATCCTCTGCTGCACAAAGCCTTTCTCATGCAGGTTACTCAGTACTAGAATGTCTTCATCTCCATGAACATAAAAGAGGTGAGGCCTTTTCTCATTTTTGAAAGGTTACTATTAGAGCCTAGTTAGAAGTGAGAGATAGAAAACTTAATGAAACTGAGGATTTAATGAAATCACCCTCTAGCCAATCCTATCATCCATGCAAAGCATTATATTTCACACACACACACACACACACACACACGATCTGATAATTAAGTTAGCAAACTTGCCACCATGTACTTAGGTTGGCAGCACTGTACAAACAACTCGGTAAAAGAGTTCATAGCCTTGGTCTATCAGCATCTCACAGCTGTTTTTGTGTCAATCTGTGGAGGTGTCTTGCTGAGCTGTGTTCATTACTGCTGTTGTATGTTTTTGTGTAACATCGTGAGAATGTCAGAGCTTGAATTAGAACAGTGAACAAACATTAAATTTCTTGTTAGACTTGGCAAGAGTGGAAACAAAATCAGAGACGTGTTAGTCCAAGGTTATGGGGATGATGCCATGAGGAAAAAGGCAGTGTACAAAGGGATCAACATTTTTCTGAGGGGAGAGAAAGTATCCCTATGAAGAGAGAGCAGGGTGTCCAGTGATGAGCAGAACTGAAGGAAATATTGCAAAAAATTCATCACACTGTGCATTAAAATTGTTGTCTGGCTGTGAGAAGCATAGTAGACCAAGTTAATACTGAAAAAATCTTAACCAAAAATCTTGGCATGAGACAAGTGTATGCAAAAATGGGCTCTTGCATCCTGACTACACACCAGCTCACCTGGGACTGTGTAAGGAAGTTTATAGCCATTAAACAAATAACTGCACTGGAACCCCCTCCCTGCCCCCCTGATCTGGCCTCCAGTGACTTTTTCTTTAGCTGAATAGAAAGGAAATATTGACAGATATTTTGATGACTCTAGGACATCAGGGTAATATGATGACAGTTCCAAAAGCTGTTACAGAATAAGTGTTCCAAAATTGCTTTGAAGGGTAAACTCAGCACTGGCATCATGGTAACTATGGTGATATTCAGCAAGGAGGTATATGGCACTTTTCCTGGGGTAAGTGAACTTAACTGTCAGACTCTTCCTACACACACACACACACAGTTATATATGTATTTTCACACCAAAAACACAGCATCTTTGTTATTTTCAGATTTATATTTTTAGTATTAGCAGGGCAGTTTACCTGTTCAATAACTTTTATAACAAACAGTAAGCTTATAATGAAGCACAGCGAAATGGACCTCATTAAGAAAACTGGTCCTTAACAATTCTAAGATTAAAAATGCCTAGCCACTGTGGGCATTGTTCAGAGACTCGTGACGAAAATCCAAAGACCTTTGTAAGGTTTTCACCGTGACAGAAGATTTAACTGTTTCTTAGAATAAAGCACTAAACCAGCACTCTTTAGCTTCACAACTGCTACAGTGTTACTAAGAAAATATTTTTAAGACTAAGAGAATATTCTTCTGGTGGAAATAAAGCCAACAATTGAAGAATATAAATGTGTAAAAGAAGAATCTTAAAAACACTAGAAGAAGACAAAGGAAATTCTGCAGAGACTAGAACAGTCTTGGAGTTGGTTTTTTTTTTTTTTTTCCCTAAGATATATACAAACTTTTCTCCAATACTTTTTAGTAATACTACTCGGGAGGTGTAAATTTTGTTGTTACTATTACTATCTTTGTTTAAAGAATATATTTTTAAAAGTATTAAGTAGTTCCAATAATCTTCCACTTGAGTTTTTCAAGTATTCTTATCATGCTATGTATGGTGAATCCTTTGAATCTAGAAACTCAGGATATTCTTCAACTCAGGAAAACTCTTTATAGTGTCTCCTCTAGCCGTCTCTCTCTCTCATCTCTATCACTTTTCTCTTTCTCTTCTTTCGCTTTTTTCTCTTCCCTTTCCCTTTTAGCCTCCCCCCTTTCAAGCTTATCATTCATATTATATTTCCTGGCTCTGTCTTTATGTTTCCCATTTCTTTACTTTCTTGTTGTGTTCCAGGTTTGGTTCTGGAGCAGAACTGAAACAGGGATTCTGGTGGAGGCAGTAACTGAGGGAGTGTTTTCAAGTGAAATCTGTAAGGGAGTGAGCGGAGCTGAGTAAGGCAGAGAGGAAGCTGGGCAGAGATGAAGGTTAACACTGACATCTGGCCTGGGCCTGACACCACATGGAGCTCTAATGGGAGAGCGAGGCAGTAAGAATTAACTGGACTGACTTGGACAAACCAAGCCCTATGTGATCACACTGTTTATAGAACATGTCTTATTGGAAAACAGCTTAATATCAGGAGCCCTAAATGAGATAGGAGACCAATTATCTCCATCAATAACTGGAAATGTACTGATGAAGTTTTCTTAAACTCATCCCAGTCATCTCACAAGACCTGATGGGGTGAGGAACCTGTGGCCTCAAGGGCACATGTGGCACCTCAACTGAATCCAAACTACACAGAATAGATCCCTTTATTAATAGCTCCCCCACCCCTTTTACGTGTTTGGTAAATGTGGAGAACTTGTTGTAAGGACATATTCATTTGTGGCTAAGTTGGATTTGAATGAAAAGTAACTGGTATATTTCATTCTAGTTCCACTAGTTCCTCTGGATGGGATATTGAAGTAGGGGCTCCGAAGCTCTCAGTGAGCTAACAGCATTCACATGACAAGCTGGACTGAGTACTTTTAAAACTCTTTAAAGTGCTTATGTATTCCTTCATTGATGATATCAAAATCCAGAATGCATGAGATGTATCTAATCGAAACCAGGAGCCATAATGGAAGAACTGAAAGTGCACTGTGGCCCCAGAGTTTATGCACTGTGGCCTGTATGTAAATTGGAACAATACATGCACATATACAAAAACTACAACAATACAAAGATTCGCATAGCCTCTGTGCAAGGATGACAAACACAAATTAGTGATGTGTTCCATATTTTTTAGGCTTAATCCCAGGGATGCAAGGCTGGTTTAACATACACAAATCCATAAGTGTAATCCACCATATCAATAGAGGTAAAAACACCATATGATCCTTTCAATAGATGCAGAGAAAGCATTTGACAAAATTCAGCATCTTTTTCTAACAAGAACACTTAAGAATATAGGCATAGGTGGCACATTTCTTAAACTGAGTGAAGTCACCTACAACAATCCCACAGCTAATGCCATACTGAGAATGAAGTAAAACTAAAAGATTTTCCACTTAGGACTGAACCAGACAAGGATGTCCTCTACTGCCACTACCATTCAACATAGTTCTAGAAGTTCTAGCCAATGCAATCAGGCAAGAGAATATAAAGGGCATCCAAATGGAGGTCAGAGGAGGTCTAACTCTCACTCTTTGCTGATGACATGATATTATACTTAGAGACTCTCAGAGACTAAACTTCACAAGACTCTTTGAAGTGATCAAGAAATATGGTAACATCTCAGAGTATAAAATCAATATCCACAAATCAGTAGCCTCTGTGTATGCCAATAACAGTTAAGTTGAAGAGCAAAGCAAAGACACAATGCCCTTCACAGTAGCTTCAAAGAAGAAATACCTAAGAATATATGTAACAAAAGAGGGGAAGGAGCTCTACAAAGAGAATTATGAAACCCTAAGAAAAGAAATACCAGAAAACATTAACAAATGGAAGAACATATCATACTCCTGGCTGGGAAGAATCAACATGTTAAATATGTATAATAAACCTTTGAATGTTCTACATTTTTGTTACTATGCTGAAAAATAATCTTTGGATAACAATATATGCATAGAAATTCACCAGCTGAGTTTGCATATTCAGTGAGCCCAGAAGGAATAATGTCTGTGTTAATTTCCTATTGCTGTCTGGGTGCCGTGGCTCACACCTATAATTCTAGCCCTCTGGTAGGAGAAGGGAGGTGGACTGCTTGAGCTCAGGAGTTTCACACCAGCCTGAGCAAGAGTAAGTCCTCAGTTCTACTAAAAATAGAAAACCTAGCCTGGCACTGTGGCAGGTGCCTATAGTCCCAGCTACTCAGGAGGCTGAGGCAAGAGGATGGCTTGAACCCAAGAGTTTAAGGTTGCTGTGAGATACGATGATGCCATGGCAATCTACCCAGGGCAACAGAGTGGGACTTGGTCTCAAAAAAAGAAAAAAAATTCTCAGTGCTGTTATAAGAAGTTATTACCAACTCAGTAGCTTAAAACAACACAAATTTATTATCTTATAGCTCTGGATGTCAGAAGCCCCAGTGGGTCTAAAATCAAGGTATCCGCAGGGCTGCATTCTTTATAGAAGCTCGAGAGGAGAACATATTTCCTTGCTTTTTCCAGCTTCTAAAAGTTATCCACAGTTCGTGTTTCATGGCCCCACATTACGCTGACCTTTGCTTCTGTCATCACATCTCCATTCATTGTATGCTCCTGTATCCTTCTCAGGACTCTAGTAGTTCACTCACCCAGATTAATCCAGGATAATCTTGCTATCTCCAGATGCCTAACTCAATCACATCTGCAAAGTCTCTCTTACCATGAAAGGTGAGCTATTTACATCGTACAGAGATTATGATGTGGATATATTTGAGAGCCATTATTCAGCCCACCTCACTACCATATCAAAACACAGTTGATATTTTAGCTTACATCCCTTATCATTTGCTATTTTCTTCTAAAACAGAAAATGACTAAAAATAGGGGAAAGGGATGGACAAAACCCCTTCAATTCCATGTTCTACTTAATTGGGTTCCAGGATATTTCTCTTATCTACCTGTGACAAAGGGAAAGCCACATTTATAACTAGATATGACTGCAAGAGACCACAGGTAAGAAATATAACTGTTCTTCAGATTCAAATCTTCCAAGACAAAACTTCTCAATGATGTTAAATTATCAGAGACTTGACTTTCCTATCTAAAACTAGAATAGCCTCAGATATTTATCACTCATATCCCTAGATCATAACAATATCTATAAAAAGAAGAAAATGACTGAATATTAGAAATAAACCATCAACCAGTACTACAAAAATTGTTCTTCTGAGAAATACAAAATACTTCTCATACATTAGCCTCAAATAGCTTCGTATGATTGAAATGCATTCTCTCTGAATTGCCACAGGCCTGGGGCATGAACTATTCTTCCAATATTATTCAAATATTGAGTGGTAGGGCTCAAAACATATTTTAAATCTTTTGAACCACTCTGTGTGCCTTTTTAGTGAGGGGGTTGGGAATAAGAGGGTGAGTTAGGGTGAGGGAAGAGGTGGATAGAGTGAGTGTCTTAGGGGTGGGAGAGCTGGGCAGCAATTGGCGAGGCATGTCTCCTACAGTCTCTGAACTTCCAAGATAATAAACCAGACAGACCGGACGGAGCCAATCCAAGCAAATCTCTAGCTGCTGATTGAGGGAACAAATAATTTCAGTGATGGAGCAAAGGAAACAGCTGCTTAATTTTGGCAAATATTATTTATTCCTCTTGCAAGAGCATTAGATAATGAAAGTACATATGGATAAACTATTCTTAAGCTCGGAAAGGGAAAGCAACACATATTACACCCAAATCTAACTGAATCGCTGCAGTTTTTTCATATCCTTAGGAAACACATTTCACCTAAACACATGTTAATAGCTGGGCTTTTGAGGTCTTTTCATTGAGATGATCCTTTCTCAAAAGCATCATCAGTGGAAATCTAAGACATCCACAAACTATCTTCTCTGGAGTTTATCATATTAACAAAAACTCAAAAAACAGAAGTTATTTGGCCTTTTCTTTCGATTATTGTATTCCTATGTGCTCTATAAATCCAAATACTTCATCATTCTCCCTACTTGCCCCATATTTTCCAGCCCCTCTGCCTTTGCACATGCCATTCCCAGGACCTGTAAACCCATTCTCAGTCATCTCCTCCTCCCACGCTAGTCTTCAGCTGCCCGGTTACTAAGACCCAGTTCAGAGATTATCTCCAGGTTTATGCTGTTTTAGATTAGAATAACACAGTGGTTAACAAGGGGACTCTGAAGTCAGACAGAATTAAGATTTCTGATAAACCTTGAATAGGAAAGCCATTAGGTAACTTCTGGTTATGGATAAATTAACCTTTCTCTATTGCAGTTTCTTCCTCTATTAAGTGGATATTAAAGTTTTAACCTACCCCAATGTTATGGTAAGTATTAAATGAGTTATTACTTAACACAAGCAAAGCACTAGAACACTGGATGAACACATACCAAGCTTTCAATTTTGGTTCAGTTGTCATGATCTCAAAAAGCATCAATCACTTCCTCTTTTGACTTCCATCTCACCTTACTTTGCTTTACCAGTCTTTACCAATTTCCATGTTGAATTAGTTATTAACATATCAATCCTATCTCTATGCTAAATTGTATCTTCTCTGAGGATAGGATTAAAGTCTTCCTCATTTTTTATCCTCTCTCCTTTATAGTCCTTTATATTATAATAAAAGAGCAAGCATTCATTAAAATTACACAATATATGCCAGGAGTTAAGTGAGCTATTTATATGCATGTCATATAATCTTATGTGTCAAGTAATATTAGTCATCCCATTTTGAAGATAAAAAAACAGGCCTAGAGAGATCAAACTTTTCTAAGGTTACATGAATAATAAATAGTTTCCTGAGTCTAAATTTCAAACTCTTACAACTACTATGTTACCTGTCTCAGAGTTGCCAGACAGTAAATGTGTTCAATGATGCAATGAATAGCCACACTATTTACCTTAAAGATTAATGTAGCCCCTGCTATTTAGTAGGCACATAATAACCACTACCTTTCTTGGAGAGACATATTGATAATTTTTACTGTGAACAATAAAGTTTCAAGGGTTGAATAATTGAGTCATCAGGAAGGCTGAAGTGCGTTAGTGCATGTTATTGCTGTACAGAGCCTTGCTATTGAGACTGCTCCATACACCAGGAGCAGCAGCACTGTCTGGAGGCCGCTGGAAATGCAGAATTATTGGGGCCCAACCCTAGGTATCTTAAATCGCACTATATATTAGTAAGATTATCAGTTTCAGGGTCATTTTTATAAAGATTGTTAACTAGCAATTCTCCAATTCCTAAGAATAGAATGATTTCACTTGACCCAGTCAAGTGAAATTGATTGGATTTAGGAAGATTTCTTTGGAGTTTTTTTTTGTTTTTTTGCTTTTTTTTTTTTCTTTTGAGACAGAATCTCACCCTCTTGCCCAGGCTAGAGAACTATGGCATCAGCCTATCTCATAGCAACCTCAAACTCCTGGGCTCAGGAAATCTTTCTCCCTCAGCCTCCCAAGTAGCTGGGACTATAGGCACTGGCCACAACATCCAGCTAATTTTTCTATTAGCTTTTTCTCAAGCTGGTCACAACCTCCTGAACTCAAGCAATCCTCCTGCTTCAGCCTTCCACAGTGCTAACATTGCAGGTGCGAGCCAAGGTGGGAGATTTCCGTTTTAAAAATAAATGTTAAAACAACAGAGTAAAATATGGAAGGAATGTATTAGTGTTTTTTGAGAAGTTATTTTGAAATGATGGATTGTCATTTAACTAATAAACCTTGACTAGGAAAAGAGTTCTATTCCCTGAGTATGTATAAAGAAGACTATGTTCTACAATGAAAGCTTTCTGAAAGTGGAGTCCTTAGAGTTATGGTAATAGTCTAAATGTGTAGAAGAGTGCCGGGCACACGGTAGGACACACTAGGCATATGCTGAATAAATAAATGAATGTTCTCAAGAATCTTGGAGGAATTGGAACAAACCACTTCTTAGAGCAATTGGCATATATTCTGCAAAGAGTGGAAATGGAAACAGGAGCAACTTATAAGATTCTATTGGTTCAAATTTGAAAGATGTGATGTGTCATTTGTATCCAAATGAGGAGATTTTCTGCCATTAAGAGAACACAAAGATGTGAAGGGAATATGATATTAATATGAATACTTTAGTATCTCTTATATAAGGGACAG